TTAAAAATTCAAATATTTTTTAAAACTGACTGATATTTATAAGAGGGACTGGTGTTTGGGTGGTTATTATCCACAGGGTCCTAATTAAGTCTTGATTAAAATGCCCTTCTTTCTCTAAAAAATTACGAACTAGGCAACTTCATACATTTTTGAATGCATAGCGTTTCCTCTTCCTACTGTTTAGTTTGTAGTCTACTATGTAAGCAACATCAATTATCAGCCCTTGCAAGACGACAACACGAGCCTGTGGGGGAAGCACTTGAGGGGAGGGGGAGAACCTTCTTATTCTCTTTTTTTGATAATCAGCAGAAACAATGTTTGACAAGAATCTGATGAGGTCACTGCAGTAAATATTTTCCCTCTTACAGAGCCAATCATCACCGAGGGATCCCCCGAATTTAAAGTCCTGGAGGATGCGTGGACTGTGGTCTCCCTGGACAATCAAAGGTGTTTGCTTTCTGCCCTGTTGCTTTCAGTTGTGCGGGAGGGGAAGATTGTCCGACGGCGCTAGAGCTCGCGGCCGGGCAGGCGCTTGTGCGTCCTGACTGCCGCGGTGTTGTGTTGCAGGTCTGCCCAGTTCGAGCACACAGTTCTCATCACGTCGGGGGGCGCGCAGATCCTGACCAAACTGCCCCACGAGGCCTGAGGAGCGGCCGGAAGGGCTCGGGGCTGGGCTTTTTTTCCTAAATCGCTGAAATCCAACTGGAGAACTTTTAGAAGAAGTGGGGGAATGACAAGTCGCTCGGAAATTTATCTAGCACCTCTTCGCGTGTTGGAAAAACGCGGTGGGGACTGGGAGCCGTGGGAGACTCGGATCTGCAGCCTGCCCGAGCCTTGCGGCTTCGGGAAAGCAGACCCTGGCCCCGAGCTCGGTTTCCCAGCGCGGGAGGCGCATCTGGAGGCCAATGGAGGCGCCCTCGTTTGGGAGACAAATTTCAAGACAAGCGCGATCTTCTCCTTCCCTTGTCCTGACTGACTCTGTCCGAGTAAAAACCCTCTTAAATCCATGGTGTCTGCTCCTTGCGTCTCTGACAGTTACAAAGGGAAGAGGGTGGGTGGTTGATGTTTGAGTGTCTGAACTTTTTACACGCGTGCGCGCAAAAAACAAAAAAACAAAACCCGAACCTTTTTGCTGGTTTTTTTTTTTTTTTAATTTTTTTTAACCCCTTGTGTGTCCCACACTGGCCGGCACCGAGGGCACGCGCATAGGCCAGCACCTGCCCCCACCCCCAGCCCTTGCGTTTCGTTCCCTTCGTCCGGCTTAAGATGAAAAGATCAGCCCGCGGACAGAGGCGTTGATTACGTGCATTTCCTTAGCTGTGGACCCTGGGCCTGGCCCTTCTGCAGGGTTTCATCCATCTAGAAACTCGGCTTTTCTGGGCCCCCGCAGCCTCCCTCCCCCGCGCGCATCTGCCCTCTGCCACCCTCCGAAAGGTTAAGTGTGAGACTCTCCCGCCACCCCGCCCGACTCACGCACGCTGGACCGTGCGTCGCCCTAGGAATTCGAGCCTCGGTTCCCCGCGCCCAGGTGTGGCCAGTGTCGCGGGTGAGCGGCCCGTCGAGTCCCTGCGCTGATCTCTCCCAGGCTGACCCTCTTCTGTCCCGCGCGCGGGCGGCGGGGGTGCGGTGCTCTGGAGACCCAGCGGAGCCCGGCGAGGAGATTGGGGCGGACTGGAAAGCAAGGGCCTAGTTGGGCCGGACTGGCGCTGGCAGGTTCAGCTCGGGTTCGGCCAGCAGCTCCAACCCGCTTCAGGAGCAGGAGTCCAGGGCCCCGCACTCTGTGTCTGCCGAGGCCCCCTCCCGCCCAGGGCACCCTGTCCCTGGCACTCGCTCTCCAGGACCCGGCCGCACCTGGGCTCCGACTGGGAGGAGCGAGGCCCTTGGCAGACCAGAAAGAAAGCCATTCCCCCTCTGGTTAGGGCTTTAGGAACAAGTCCATTGAGGGTGTCCAGGTGGTCAGTGGCTGTGCTAGTTCTTGTTTCTACCGAAGCGGGTTTTTCAACGATGATACCCCTTAAATACAACTGGGGCGAGCGGGAGCGCCAAGGAAATGTTGGCACCTGCAGTTGCCACGACAGGTGGCGCCGGCGACTGGCACCAGAGAGTGGGCTCTGTTTGGACACTCATCGTGGTGGGGAAGGAGATGGGAGACTGAGGGCGAGCTGGCTCGGAAGTGTGAAGAATTCCAGCTTTGCCCTGAACACGAGGTCCTCTCGGTTGTCCCCCTAACCCCTCCGGCTCGGCTTCTCTGCGTCCAGGACGTAGACTTTTGGAGACAGGTGATTCTAGTGGGCCTGAGAGCTGGAAAAGACCCCGGGAGGGGTTGAGGATTTAAAAGTGAATGAAAAAACTTTTGGTGTGCTTGGGAGTCGGCCAGGCAGAGGTCCAGAGACTGAGGCCGCTGCCCCGAAAAACCTGAATTCCCTAAAGAGGAACCGCGCCCAGCTGGCCTTGGGAGCGGTTTGCCGGAAAATGACTTCAAGCGGATTGCGACCATTAGCGTTGCTCTTATTTACGAATCAGTTTACTCCGAGGTTCCCCAAGGATAGTTTTATTAGGACCACAGGACTTTACCAACCACTGGGGAAACACGCTGCTTGTGCAGCAATTATTTCGAGGTGTAGGTATTTATGGGACGGGTTTGTAATCCCATTTATTAAAGTGACTAACCTAAAGATACAGACATATAGATGTATACTGCCAACGCTGCAGCTCCCTAGGAATCAAACTTGAATGCGAACGAACTGCGTTTAACATGCTCTGAAGTTGAGATTAGGAAGTAGATGTTAAAATGCCTCGTCCACGCCTCCCTGTCCCTCTGCCAGCTGAACTGGCCCCAAACCTCGCCCAGCCCCGCCGGGATTCCGGCCAAGTATGGGTACGGCTAACACCACCCGGGCTGTCCCGTCCTGGGGTGACTTCAGTAGGTCCTACTTGCAATCTGGGACCCTCAGGACAAATGGAAGAGTGCTGTTCTCTCTCAGAGTGGGGGCAGGCAAAGAATCAAGCGAACCGGCGTTTCAGGACAGGTGTCGCCTTAAGGTAGGGGTGGGAGGGATCCCCCCCTGAGCTCACAGAGTGAGCTCGTGTGAAGATCCCACACTGAGAAGCTAGCTCAGTCCGGGCGGCTTGGCGCTCGAGGGCCCCAATCACCCTCCCTCCCCAGGCCCACTTTTTTGAGCTAAGAAATAATTCCGGAGTGTAGAGATCCTTCGCCCTCACACAATTCACTTCTAAATCAAACACGGTTCTGAAATCGCATCCCGAAGGGGGGCGCGTGCCGGATTTTTGTTCCCAAGAGCCCGCCAAGTCCCCTGCGCCGCCAAAGCCTTTGATCTCCCTGCAGATGCGGAGGAACAGAGCGCCCAGGAGGCTGCCGCGACGTGCGGCCGTCTCTCGCGTCCCCCCATCTTGCAATCCTCGGTCCCTGGGCGGCCCGGCCGTCGGGCTTCCTCAAGCCTGGCCCTGAGCTCCGGGAGTCACCAGTTCCGCTCTCCCCGGTCCCCATCCCGACCCGGCGCCCGCCGCGCTGATCACTTACTTGGGCAGGGCCCTCGAGGTGCGCGCCAGAGACCCGGGGCCCGGGCGGCATCCGAGCGGCTGTGCTGGGCGCACGGCGCGGCACTCCACACCCCAAAACAGGCTCTAGGAAGGAGCAATTACAGCCACAAGTGCGACACGGAAATCAGGACGAGCCCAGCGGCTCCAGGAGTTGTCTGGTGGCGGAGTCATTAGCTGGTTGTTGCTACAAAGCCTCACCGTGTGGTTCGGTGATTAAGGGGGAAAAAAAAATCTTTTAAACGTTGGCAAACCCGTTATTGGTTTGGAATGTTGCTATTTTTTTTTCGCTTTTGTTTTTCTTTTTTGCTCCAACCACGCGGCCTGAAATCTTTCTGCCCCCAGCATCGTGCCCTTAAACCAAAGGAGAGGAATTCTGCGGGCAGCAGCAGCTGCGACAGAAGTTAGAAAAGAGAGAGACCTCCTCTACTAATATCTGTAACGACAGCACCGATGTAATTTGTTTTGAATGTTCATTTTTATTGGTGTTCCCTCTGCCAAAATGTGCTTGATTACAGAGGTTTGTCCTGTGATCACTGCACACTCCAGACAGGGGAAGGTGCAGCCATGAAGGTTCAGCTCAGGCCAGATCAAATCCCGGGCTGTTTAACGCTGAAAGGCTGCATGTTGCTATTAGTGTTAAATATATGGCTAATTATGCGTATGAAAATTAAACATCAGTGTTATGCTAATGGGACGCCTTCAGCTGCGGATCTGAGCACTTGAGACTACCATTTAATCAAATGAATCAGTAACTAATACATCTGCACGTGTGAACTTTCACAAGATCATTTCCCCGTTCCCGTCACACCGCTAAATTATGAAAGAAATAATTACCAACACTTTCTAATTACCTAACAAAGTAATCTGGGATTCACCGTGGGGCTGTGGGGATGGGGAACCTACGTCCCCCAGCAGCCAGGGTGGTGCGCGCACGCGGCGAGGGCCTTGCAGTGGCGCTGGGGTGGGGGCTTTTGTGCGCTTTCCTGTATCTGGCACCCCGGAAGACGGGAGGCGCGGTGGCAGCTCTTGTCGACACCAGCCCTGCCCTCCAAGCCCGGTGGCGCCCGCTTTGGCCGCGGGAGGTGAGGAAGACCCCGGGCGGTCCGGAGAGACCTGTCTACGCAGACAGGCGAGCCTACCGCAGGCCCGGTTTGGCTGCGGGTCTCGGTGTCCCCCAGGGACTCCCAAACTCCGGCCCTCTCACTAGACCCCGGGAGGCCGGAAAATGACCACCTGGCGGCCGCGACTCAGGCAGAACTGAGCCCTGCTGGCCTCTCGGCTCCACGCTGAGCTGCGCCCTCGGGGCGAGTGAGCCCGGGGCGCACCGTGCAGGGGGAGTAGAGGGGGGAGGAGGAGGCGGAGGAAGACTGGGAGGGAAAGAGGATGTGTGTGTTGGGGGAGGGGGCGGTGCGGCCGCCTTTCCTGGGAGGAGAAGCGCGGGTTCCTGGCTCTCCACGCGCACTGCTTTAATCAGACCGGTGCAGCCTCGAGCTGGAGTGGCCAGCTGGGCCTGGAGCAATGCGAGTGGGCCCCGGGGAGCGGCGGTGGCGGCGGCGCGGCGGCCGAGTGAGTGAGTTCGCCCCG